AAGATCAGCCGGAGCGAAACGACAAAGCGCGGTGGGGAACGGAGCGCGGGCGGGACGGCCGCGGCGCGGAAGGCAGGGGCTCTCGCCTCACGGAGCGGGGCTCAGGTTTAGCATCTCCCTTTGAGGCGCAGCTAATTTCACCCAGAGAAATTGCAGAACGGGAGCGAATAAACTTTATTAGAACCCCGAGAAAAATAATCAGTGACAATTCTAAAAATACACAAGAGAAAATAGAAGGAATGCTTTGAAGACAACGACAGTTAGCCAAATGTTTAACAAGAGTTAATTAAAAAAAAAAAAAGACAGGATCGAGGAATACCAAGTGTGGTCATAAAAAACAGTTATTTCCCTTAATTCCCCTCCAAGGACTTAAAAAAAAAAAAAGAACAGTTTGCATCAAGAGATGAAAGACATTTGTCATTGAGAAGACACTCTCAGGAATCGGAGTTCTTCAGCTCGGCAGGCTGACACCTTCCTTCAATCACATCTGAGTTGCTCTTTCTAGACTTTTTGCAGCATCTTTTAGTTTTCCGACTAAATCCTAAGAGTTGAAATACCGTCTTAGGATAAACGTATTTTTTAAAAGGTCAGCTAGAGGAACATAGGGTTTTTTTATACAGAGAGGCAAGGGAAACCAGCACCTTATACCACAAAGAAATGTTGCAACTGATGAACAATGCCAGCAAGTAATTAAATAGCTTCCCATTTTACAACATAGCAAGAAAAGTAGGAACTGAAGGAAAACGCCTTTTAACATAGATTATTGACTGAAACAGATCACTGCTCTTAACACGTAGATTTCATTGGTATCGTTATGATGGCTAACGCTGACATTTGCTCTAGGCTTTTAAGTACTATAGACGTTTCTAAAATACTGAAAATATGTTAAGTGCAATTTTGTATTAGGACCATTCATCCAGACAAAGCACATCAGATTTAACTAAGTCAGCAAACCGATTAAAAACACTCATTAGTAAGAAAAGGACAACTTTTGAGATGCACGTTAAAAAGGGAGAGGTGTAAACCTGAAGTTTTAATATCTTCTTTTTTTCTTCCCTCAACCCCTCTTCCCAGTCCTCCAGAGTTTGGTCACTCACAAGCATTACAATACTGCTATTGTTCAGTTACACATTTAAATCGCTAAACAAAGATCAACGTTTGTTTCAGTACATTTCTTACATGTCATTAACACCACTGAAGAGCCCTCAGTTCGTTCTCTATTTTTAATCATGACACATTTAAACCACTGAACCAGTTTCTTTAATCATTTCTCTAAAGCATGGGAAATCAAGAGTTTCAGAAAAATGATGTATTTCCTCCCATATAGATAACTTACAGTTATGAAATCAGACAAAAGAGTTATGCATGTATGTAAAACACTCCCCAAGCAACTAAAATCAGCAACTTTGCAACTTTATTTGAGAAGACAGGAAAACTACACTTGGATAATTTTTATAGGAGATTCTTCCCTACCCTCCCAGTCCTGGAGAGAGAGATATATATCTCTATCTATCTAATAACAGTAAATCTGATTGCATTGTGATTGACAAATTCTTAAAAACATTTATATCCACAACTGGATCCAAGCATAGAAAAAATGATGAAGGAAAGAAGTACCTGTAATTGCTCCATCGTGCAACTAAAACTAACATCTGGGTGTGATCCCGAATCACTGTTCTGAAGAAAAAAAAACCCCAAAAAACAAACAACAATGCCCATTTTATTAAAAAAAAAAAAGTTGTGAAATTGTATTTTTTTTAGTTTGAAGGTACTGAGAGTACCGTACCTCTATGTTTAAGGTCACCAAGTAGGAAGGCTGGTAAGTTTTATGAAGTTGATTGCTCTAAATTAAAAACAAAAGGCACAGAAAAAAGTCAGGTCTCAGCACTGAAACAGAGTGAAGAAACACCTTGATGTGTTAAAATTACCTTGATCTGATATTCCAAGCGCCAAGACACATCAGTGATATGGAGAGGAGATCTGCCTATGCTGAAAGAAATAACAGTT